GAATATAGAATAGAATATAGACTCGTCTATAGATTAGACTATAGTCTCGTCTATAAGACAGACTATGGTCTCGTCCATAGGACAGACTATAGTCTCGTCTATAGTACAGACTATAGTATCGTCTATAGGACAGACTATAGTCTCGTCTATAGGTCAGAATATAGAATAGAATATAGACGCGTTTATAGAATAGACTATAGACTCGTCTATAGAATGGGCTATAGACTCGTCTATAGAATAGACTATAGACTCGTCTATAGAATAGACTATAGTCTCGTCTATAGAACAGACTATAGTCTCGTCCATAGGACAGACTATAGTCTCGTCTATAGGGCAGACTATAGTCTCGTCTATAGGACAGACTATGGTCTCGTCTATAGGACAGACTATAGTCTCGTCTATAGGACAGACTATAGTCTCGTCTATAGGACAGACTATAGTCTCGTCTATAGGACAGACTATAATCTCGTCTATAGGACAGACTATAATCTCGCCTATAGGTCAGAATATAGAATAGAATATAGACGCGTTTATAGAATAGAATATAGACGCGTTTATAGAATAGACTATAGACTCGTCTATAGAATAGACTATAGACTCGTCTATAGAATAGACTATAGTCTCGTCTATAGGACAGACTATAGTCTCGTCCATAGGACAGACTATAGTCTCGTCTATAGGGCAGACTATAGTCTCGTCTATAGGACAGACTATAGTCTCGTCTATAGGACAGACTATAGTCTCGTCTATAGGACAGACTATAGTCTCGTCTATAGGACAGACTATAGTCTCGTCTATAGGACAGACTATAATCTCGTCTATAGGTCAGAATATAGACTCGTCTATAGGATAGACTATAGACTCGTTTATAGAACAAACTATGGACTCGTCTACAAGACTATATATCGTCTATATTTTTATATCAGATTTTTTATCAGATTTTTAATAAAATAAATAAATATACACTTTGATGAAGGGTAGATAAGATTCGTTGCAGCCATGTACATATGTAAAACGTTCATTGTCCCGTTAAACTGGTCTCTTAAACTGCTTTTTTTAGACTTTTCCTTAGAGATGTTTCAAATCAAACAATTTATATAAATTTTAGTTAAAAAGTTAAAAATAAATAGAAAGTATTTATAAAAAAATCTTAAAAATATAATCGGTTCTATTATTTTACATTTTTTCCGCTTCAATTCCAATGATTGACTTTAAAAAGAAAGTAATTTTAAAGTACAAACAAAAAACGGCATCAATAATTTAAAAAGAAATTTAATTACATAGTTAATAAACCTCTTACTATATACATATTTGTATGGTTAGAAAAATCCCCCAATTAATTTTAAAAACTTTAATTATGCTTGATATTCTTATATTTCGTTAAATATTAAAAACTGTCATTAAATATTTTATTAATAATATACATTTTTTTCTATTTTATTATAATGATTTCGACTAAATGGTTTTATATCTTTTTAGTATTTCTACCAAAAAAAAAACCACAAACAGCATAAACAAAATCTTAATTTTTATATTCTAACTAGTATTTAAGTAAAAGATTTATATGTAAAACGACAAACCACCAGTTTTTGCTTTCAACTTTATAAAAAATTTTTATAAATTTTTGAAGGCCAACAAGTCAAGTTTAATAAAGTTTGTTTTTTTCAATAGACGTTTTTTTATATTCTTTTTTATAACTTTAATGCTAAAATGCATTGCCAGCAAATGTTAAACATATTTGTATGTATAAAAATAATTTAAGCTGGAATTAAAACAATCACACAAAATGTTTGACACTAATGGGAATTTTAAAACCTCAGTTAAGTTTTAATATGTGAAGAATATTAACCCATTGTGCAAAATACTTTATATTTAGAGTTTACCAGTAATCTTCATAATAACTAGCAAAACTTAGTCTGAGCTTTTTGAAGGCAAAAAGTGAATGAAGTCGTCTAAAGGACGACTATAAAAAAGACTATATACGACTTCTTATTCTTTAGACTCGTCTATATAATAACCTATAGAATAGACTATAGACGAGTCGACAAGACAGAGTAAAAACTGGACTATAGAATAAACAATAGACTTGTCTATAAAATAAGATATAAACTCGTCGATAAAATAGACTATAGACTAATCTATAGCATGGACTATATATTCGTCTATATAATAAACTATATACTCATCTGTATAATAGACTATAGTCTCACCTATAGCATAGACAATAGACTCAACTATTGAACAGATTATAGATCGTCTACAGGACATACATTAGACTCATCTATAGGACAAACTATAAGTAAATCTATAGGACAGTCTATAGACGTTTCTATAGAACAGAGTATAGACCCGTTTTTGTATAGAATAGAGATTCGTTTATAGAGTAGACTAATATACTCGCCTATTGAATATAATGTAGACTCGCCTATAGGACATACTATAAACTCGATTATAGACAAATCTATACGACAAACTAAAGACGAGTCTATACAACAGACTATCGATGATGCTATAGGACAGACTCGTCTATAATATACAATAAACTTTGTGCTCGTCTATAAATATACTATAAACTCATCTATAGAATAGCCTAGATGAGTCAATATCTATAGAATAGACTATAGACTCGTCTATAGAATAGAGTATAGACTCGTCAATAGAATAGACTATAGATTCGTCAATAGAATAGACAAGTCTATAGAATATACCATAGACTCGTCTATATAATAGACTATAGACTCGTTTATATTATAGACTATACCTTCGTCGATAGAATAGACTCTAGACTCGTCTATAGAATAGACTATAGACTCGTTTATAGAATAGACTATAGTCTCGTGTATAGAATAGACTATAGACTCGTCTATAGAATAGACTATTGACTCGTCTATAGAATAGACTATAGGTTCGTCAATAGAATAGACTATAGATTCGTCCATAGAATAGACTCGTCTATAGAATATACCATAGACTCGTCTATAGAATAGACTATAGACTCATCTATAGAATAGACTTTAGATTCGTCTATAGAATAGAGTATAGACTCATCTATAGAATAGACTATAGACTAGATTATAGACTCGTTTATAGAATAGACTATAGACTTATTTGTAGAATATTCTGTAGACTCGTCAATAGAATAGACTATTGGCTCATCTGTAGAATAGACTATAGATTCGTCTATAGAATAGAGTATAGACTCGTCAAAAGAATAGACTATACACCCGTTTATATTATAGAATATAGACTCGTCAATAGAATAGACTATAGATTCGTCAATAGAATAGACTGTAGACTCGTCTATAGAATGGAGTATATACTCGTCCATAGAATAGACTATAGACTCGTTTATAGAATAGAGTACAGACTCTTCTATAGAATAGACTATAGACTCGTTTATAGAATAGATTACAAACTCGTCTATAAAGTAGAATATAGTCCCGTTTATAGGCGAGACTATAGACTAATCTATAGGTCAGATTATAGACTCGTCTATAGGACATATTATGGACTTGTCTGTAGAACAGACTATAAACTCGTCTATAGGACGGACATACTATGTACACGTCTATAGGAAATACTATAGACTTTTCTATCGGACAGACTATAGACTCGTCTATACTTTTACTTGTCTAGACTATATTGACTGCTATAGGTTGGACTATAAAATTGTCTATAGAATAAACTAAATAACAGATTATAGGCTTGCTTATAGGATAGACTAAAGACTCGTGTATAGGACAGATTATAGACTCATCTATAGAATATAGATAGACTGTAAACTCCGTATAGTTAACTATATACATACCAGACCTGGGATAAATGCATTAAATGTGTTAATGCATTAACAATTTTTTCTACATTAAAAAAAATTAATGTTAATGCAAGTTTATTGCATTAACATTAACATGGGTACATTTAATGCATTAAATTTGCATTAACATTAAATATTTTTAAATTTAATGCATTAATTTTACATTAACATTAAATATTTGTGAAATTAATGCATTAATTTTGCATTAACATTAAATATTTTTGAATTTAATGCATTAATTTTCCATTAACATTAAATAATAAATAATAAAATTAATGCATTAATTTTCCATTAACATTAATGTATAAAATAATTTATAAAAATAAGAATACAGCGCTAAAGTCCTCGGTCTAACAAAATTCAAGTAAAATTGAATGTGTTAAAGTCCTTTCTAATAAGTCCTATACTCGATAATACATATTAGAAGAATAGTATCACTTCCCAGATATTCCATTTTTAGTTTATTTTGTTAAAGTCCTTTCTAATAAGTCCTATACTCGATAATACATATTAGAAGAATAATATCACTTCCCAGATATTCCTTTTTTAGTTTATTTTGTCTGTGGAATCTTATATAAATATCATATTTAAAACACACAAGTTTGAATGGAATATAGGAGTTATTAGAAAGGACTTTAACCTATTTAATTTTAGTTGTTTAGTTAGATCGAGGTCTTTTGAGCTGTATTTTTATTTATGTTTATCAATTTTTATATATATTAATGTTAATGGAATATTAATGCATTAATTTTATTGCTTATTGAATGTTAATGTAAAATTAATGCACTAAATTCAGATATATTTAATGTTAATGCAAAATTAATGCATTAATTTCAAAAATATTTAATGTTAATGTAAAATTAATGCATTAAATTCAAAAATATTTAATGTTAATGGAAATTTAATGCATTAAATTTTAAAAATTTAATGTTAATGCAATATTTTTTACATTAAATTAATTTTTTTTTAATTTAATGTTAATGCAAAATTAATGGAAATCGCCCAGGTCTGATACATACACAATTAAAAATTTACCTATAATTTGCGCAGCACTATAAGTCACAATAATAATGTGCAATTTGTTAAGTTATATTACTTTTATGTTTATAATTATTTAGCTAAATGTTATAATAAAATTTAAGTATAATTAATTCAAAGAAGACAAACAAACAAAAAAATTACTTACATTTTCTATTGTTGCTGTTAATAAAGTTGATTGGTCAAGATGTTGTCACCTTCCATATACAATAATAACCAAGAGATGGGGTCTTTAAAATAATCCACAAATTTACGAGCGAAAAATTTAAATTTACACAAATTTATTTATCAATGACAAATTTAGTCAACAAATGATTTTTTTTCGAATTAAGCCGTATTTAAAATGTTATTTTTAAAACGATTTTAATTAAATAACTTTGTAAGCTTTAATATGACACGATATTTTAATATTTTACTTTCAGATTATTTCACTTTTTTTGTTAAACATGAAGATGATCTCAGTATTACTGGGGTTAAATTTAATTTAAATAAATTTTTTATCTTTTTAATAATATTTCAAACACGTAATCAGCCTTAAACAGATATTTATTTATATTAATTTATTTTATTTATTTTTTTCACTTAGATATTTTATTAATAAATTTGTTAGATATTTTTTTAAATTTTGTTTGATTTAAATAAAGACCGTTGTTTAAATTCTAAATTATAAACACGTTTCACTTAAAAACAATTTGAACATTTTTTGTTGTTGTTTTGTGCATTTAACAGATACTTTACACACAATTTTAACACTGAAATATACAATGGGTAGTATTCTTTAGAATACAAAATGATTATCTTTTCTTTTTATTTTTTTGTTTAAAACATTTTTTTTTGTTTATTTATTTTTTCTAATTTCTTATATAAAAATAAGATTAAGGAGTGTTATTTAACCGCTTTTAAGTGTTTTTGTTTCTGTTGCTGGTTTTAGTTTTTTTCTTTAAACACACGTTCCTTTTGATTTCTTTTGTGAAGAGTTTTGATCTGTAAATAAAAGAAGAGTATAAAATATTAAGTTGTGTATTAGATTAAGAAATTTTGATAATAATTAGTATATATGGGGGTTAAAAAATTTTTTGTATTTTAGAGAGAATCAAACTGGAAACAAAAGAATGAAAATAAAGTGTTTAACAAAAAGATATAAGTTGAAATATTTAGACGGGTTTCTGACATATTTATTTAAGTTTGTTAGAAACAAAACAACTTAAGTAATCATATTTCTTATTGTTTATTAAGACAAGCGTATAAAGACATTAAAAATTTTAAAACAAAAACAAGGAATATGAAATGGATTTCCTACAAAATTTCTGTAGTGATGTGTGATGTTAATAAAAATAAAATTTAAAAAGAATGTAAGAATTTTATAGTTGATTGTGACTAATTTTTTCGACATTGGTATAGTATTTATACAAAGCAATTTCAGGCGCTGTAGCAATTTCGGCAATTACTTCCATTTTTTTCTAATTCACCAATATAATTTTTAAATATTTATGATCAACAGAGAATATATTGGGGAATTTTCGTCTCCTCTTATTCTCTCCTCTAGGTCCTATTGTATTAATAAAGACGATCGATTAAACAGTATTGTTTGAAACCTAAGCAACTTCAACTTAAAACAAGTGAGAGTGTTACATTCTCATATACCCACCATCAAACCGTTAAAGGAATGCTCCCCTATAAACATTAGGGTGATAGTACTCATCAAATTAACTGAAGAGAATCTTTATAGAATTTTGTCATACATTTTTTTAAACCAATTTTGGTTCGTATAAAACATGTTTACATCGAATATCACTTCTCGACACTTTCCGCATGAAATTCGGTAGGAAGATTTACGTTCCTATAAAAGTTTCTTCTATCAAATTTCATAACTGTAAACGTATTTTTAAGACAGCAATGAACGTTAAAGTAATTTTCTGAAGGGAACCCTATATGCGGGTAGGATCAATTACGAACCTATATCAAATTTGGTAGAGAGATTTTAACTCGTATAAAACATATGTGTGTCATATTTTTAAGCCAGTAATGAGCTTTAAAGTCATTTTTTGAAGAGGAGGGGTCAATCACTTGCAGATTCTCATTAAAGTTCGTAGAGAGGTTTTGGCTCGTAAGAAACTTATAAGTATACATATGTCGAATTTCATTTCTATACTTGTACTTTTAAGCCAGTAATGAGCGTTAAAGTAATTATCTGAAAGAAATCTTATATGGGGAGTAGGGTCAATTATAGACCTATCCACACAACATTTGGTAGATAGGATTTTGCCCGTAAGAGTCTTACTTATGTCAAATTTCATTACTTTACTCGTATTTTTAAGCCAGTGATGAGTGTTAAAGTCGTTTTTTTTTTTAAGGGAACCTTATATGGGGGGTAGGGTTAATTATGAACCGATCTACATAAAATTTGATAGAGAGATTTTGGTTAGCATGAAACTTATGTGTGTCGAATTTCGTCGCTATACTCGTATTTTTAAGGCAGTAATAAGCGTTAAAGTAATTTTCTGAAGCGGACCTTATATGGGCGGTAGGGTCAATTATGGACCGTAGAGAGATTTTGACTCTCAGGAAACTTATGTGTGTTGAATTTCATCGCTATATTCGTATTTTTAAGCTAGTAATGAAATTTATAGTCATTTTCTGAAGGCGACCTTATAAGGGCGGTAGGGTCAATTATTGACCGATCCATATAAAATTTGATAGAAAGATTTTGAATATCATGAAACTTATGTGTGTTGAATTTCATAGCTATATTCGTATGTTTAAGCCCGTAATGAGCGTTATAGTCATTTTCTGAAGGGGACCTTATATGGGGGGTAGGGTCAATTATGAACCGATAGTTATCAAATTTGGTAGGGACATTTCGGCTCATATGAGACTTATTCATGTCAAATTTCATCGCTATACTCATACTTTTAAAACAGATATGCCCGTTAAAGCCGTTTTTCGGCGGTCCACTTGTATGGGGGCTTTCCGAAAATGTGGACCGATAATGCCCATTTTCATTACCAAACAAACAAATCTTATCTTGTGAAAACCTATTTGTGGAAAATTTCAACCCTCTAGCTCATTTTGTTCGGACTCTATCGTGCTTTCAAGAGACAGACGGACGGATATGCCTAGATCGTCTTAGAATTTAATAAGGACCCAGAATATATATATATATATATATATATATATATATATATATATATATATATATATATATATAAATTTATTATAAATTTTATATATATATATATATATATATATATAAAATCAATATACCCCCATCTTTTTTTATGGTGGTTATAAATAGCCAAATAAGACTTATAAGATCAATAAGCTTTAAATTAGTAGGCGTAGCTATAATATGGACACGCCTACTTTTTGTATATAAAATTTATGCACGTAAATCCAAAAAATATGAGTCAATTTTACAAAATATTTTTAAAATGTATTCAAATTTATACCATAAATAAAAAATTCGTTTTAAACAGTGAATAAAAGAGGTGGTGTGTCATAATTTCCATGGACATAATGACAATTTCAAAAGTGTTACAATGTCCAAGAGCAATGCGACAAAAAGTCCATGTATGTCAAAGAGTCCATTTATCAAAAAAAAAGGCTTATTTTAGCGAAGCCGGTATTTGAAATTCCCCAGAGTTTGAAACTTCTGCGCCCGGCCGAAGGCCGTCTATCTAGCACACCTTTTAAAAGGAATCCAAAATGCAACATACAACAAATTTAGGAGCAATTCTTTTCGGGCTAAGTGTGTCCCTTTCTTAAATTCTAAACAAATTTTCCAATACATTTCTTTTTTAAAAGTGTCACAATGTCCATGGACATTATGACATTTTAAAAACGTGACATAATGTCCATGGACATTGTGTCGCTTTAAGGTGTGTCATAAGGTCTATGGACATTATGATACGCCACCAATAAAAAAGATTTCCAAAACAATAAAACAAAAGTGGGCGTGGTCACGATATTACTGCCCACATTTAGTGCAGACTTATCCCAAATTTTATGCCAAGCATGTGTATTAGATTTAAAATAATATATTTATTTAAAATTTAAAATACATTTAATCAATAAGGGATAATAATGTCTTTTTCAGATGTTTGTACTAATAACTCTAAAAATTTCGGGATCGCAATGTTTACTATATGGCACTCTGCTAAGTAATAACAAACTAAAAATGTTGTAAGTGTGCTCATTTTATCAGTCAGGGTGTCACGGGTTTAATCTGTTGCACTAAAACTGCACATTTAATTAACCTTAAGTTTACATTTGAAAAGTTTCACTCTTAAATTTATGAAGTTGACCATTAGGTATTTTAAAAAAATCTAATAATACTTGTTATTTTTAGTTTCATTTTTCTCCCCAAATCTGATCAAGGTTTTTCTTTCTACAATTCAATAGTAAAAAACATTTTTAACGATACATTTTTAACCATACAACTTTACTACTTGGCATTAACTGTAACAAACTCCTTTTAGCCATTATTTTCATCGCGATTTCTAAGGTATTTTTCAGTTGTAATAAAAACTGCACAAAAATATTTTTAAACAATGCGAATTTTTGGTTGTTGGAAAAAAAACATACATATAATATTATTAACAAGAAAACTAAAGAAAAATGTAGATCACATTTAAAAGCATAAAAATTTTGTTGTATTTTTTGGGTACTTATGAAGAATGTATGGAGTGTAGTAAACTATTTCAATAACTATTATTTTTAGTGGGTTTTTTGTGGCTTTTTTGGCGAATTTGATCATGATGTTTATATTTTTGTGTTGACCTCTTTTATTCAGTTAAAGTAGTGAAAGAAATTGCGTTATTCTTCCCCCAAAGTTGTAGTGAAAAAAATAAGCTAAACAAAGAAAAACGCCGTTAAGCACTTGGCGGTAAAAGTGCAGTTAAACTAAAGAAACAATGTCTCATTTTTTGCGTTTTTTTGTAGTTAGTGGCTGGAATTGTATTCTTGGGAGGGTATTATGAGTTTGTTTTCATATTTGTAATGTATTGCTTTAACACCCACTTTCGATGAATTCAGAATTAGTAACTCGATAGAAAGACTCCCTCTGTTCATTTAAAATAATACGACAAACATTGTACATAACCCTTTTGAAACAGGTCCATGATCTCTTTACGACAATGGTAAGCTCACTATTGACAGACAATCCGTTGCCAATAGTGAGCTTATCACGTTTGTTAACATTTAGACAACGGATGTGTATAAAATTTAGATTTAGACAACGAATTGTTGTTGATAACATTGCGACATAGTGTTGTCGTACGAATGTATATACTTTGACAACGGATGTTATTGAAAAATTATAAACTCTTTGGTGTCAATTTGGTACCAGGCGTGTATATTTCATTTTAACTCTGTGTACAAAGTTCATCAGTTTGTTAAATTTTGATCCAATGAAGGACCTTGACCTCATATTAGTAGTAAAGACGAAACCCAATCTAGAAGGAATCTTGATAAATCGTAACACAGATCGAGCCATATTGGACCCTAGTCCTCATATAAAGAAGCCTTCAGTAAACAACTTTAACGATCATTACTGATTACAAAGAAGTAACTAATCTTGTTCAACTAATCTATAATTGATCGTATCATTAATAAGTATAAAGACTTCTTTATACAATCTGATTATTGGTAATTAATCGCATATGTATGTATATCTTAATTCACTATAAATACGCATTATTAAAAAATTTATCAGTTTACTAAATTCTGATCAATGGAAGGGCCTTGACCTCATAATAGTAGTTCACAACAAAATTCAATTTAAAAGTCAAGTTCTGACCTTTTACACCTGGCACTCAGGTGTCATATATAGACCTAATGATGGACAAATGTGCGAATATGATAGTCTTAAATTCCGACCAGATCTCAGGGTCTTGAAGGATCTACAACCGATATTTTGATTTCTCGAAACGTGAAGAAATCTTAGTCCATTAGTAATAATATCAAAATGTAATTTTGAATACATT